GGTACTTACGTCCACTATTCTAGTGGAGGATACACAGGGTACTTACATCCACTATTCTAGTGGAGGATACACAGGGTACTTACATCCACTATTCTAGTGGAGGATACACAAGGCAATTACATATACCAACCATTCTAGTGGAGGATACACGGGGTACTTACGTCCACTATTCTAGTGGAGGATACACGGGGTACTTACGTCCACTATTCTAGTGGAGGATACACAGGGTACTTACATCCACTATTCTAGTGGAGGATACACAGGGTACTTACATCCACTATTCTATTGGAGGATACACAGGGTACTTACGTCCACTATTCTATTGGAGGATACACAGGGTACTTAAGTCCACTATTCTAGTGGAGGATACACAACCATTACATTTTTATTGCTTTTATAGAGGCTACTTATCACTCACCTCAACTTCAGCATTCCAAGGAATTATGCCAAATACTACGAAGCAGAATTTTATGAAACAAGTACATTTATTGCATCAAGAAACTTATCAACAACTGTTATTAAGAACAGTTTACTAACTCATATTGTGATTATCTTTTTTCTGCCGGTCTTTTGCTAATGCTCGCAAATGGTCTTCAGTAAGGGATAAAGGTTCTTCTTTCACATTCACAAGATCAGGTGGGCACGATGCTGGCGACTTGGTCTGCTCAGCAGAAAATAAGTCTAGTAAATCTGTAGTTCCAGGCATCTACAGAAGTTTGAAGAAGACATCTTTTCATTGTCATAATTTCTGTCAACAACATAATCTGTGAAACTACATTTAATACTATTTAATAGCGTAAAATTTAATTTTTACATGTAGAATGAGTGAAAAATATACTTTTACAGCATCCATGTGTAGAATGTAGTTGAACACTGAAATGCAAACATATAATACTTGTCATACACATTCTTTAACTTCATAAATATAAATTTATCATAGAAGGCAATAAAAAGCTGCTTGTAGCTAAAACAAAGAGCTTGAACAAATCATATTACTGGTTCTTACTTAATTAGCATAGTTCTTCCTTTTTACCATATAATAGCATGCAAACACTAATTGGTATTGAAATACTGTGTATCTTAGACTATTATATACAGTTTAATTAACATACAAGGTAAGAACAGATAGGGATAGCTATCAACTTTGTATAAAAATGAAAAGAACTGTCAAGTAAAAAAAAGTCATCAATTTTCAGTAATCCATTAACAAAGTATTTACGAGTAGTTACTTCTCAAACTTACTGTTTACAATATTTCGTCTACATTTAATTGCACATAAACAACTGTTACATTTTATGCTTTACTGCAACTGTGATAATGAACTAAAGATTAGATACTTTATCTATTAATGTTATTTATGTTTCTAATTAACATTGGTCTTATTTACACTGGAAGTTAAAGGGATGGCAAACATTTTTCTTAAATAATTCTGTTAACCATACGAAAAAACTTGTAAAGTAAGTTAAAAAAAAAAAAAAAAAAGAAGGAGGAAAAAATAACTTCATTTAAAATCCTACCTATCTTTTATACACAAAGTAACAATTATAAATTCTGCTGGCAAGATAAATTACATAAGGTAATTAAAATACCTTTTTGTAGTAAGGCATTTTTTAGTCTTAGGAAAACTGTAAACATTTAAATATTTACTACATATCTGCAATGGTTGTGTGCCAAGCACCTTCACTTAACAAATTTATTAGATTTGAAATATTATGTGTATCTTAAAATTTATAGTTAAGGAAGTTTATGTAAAATATTAACTACACATGTGAGATTAATAGCAGCTACATACATTTAAAGTTGGTATTTTTTATTAGCTGTATGTATGTGTGTATGTGAATACATACAATAAACAGGTTTTGGAAATCAGTTAGGTTCACAACATTGCAAGGTCATTGTATACAATTTATATATATAAGGATAAGCTTAGCCTATATTAAAGACTAAATCTACATGATTAACTACAAAAATTCAAACCTAGTCAACAATTTTCAGGGCTAAGAATCTCAAAGAATCAACTAAGATCAGATTAACTTTCTGTATCACTGTTAATTACTGTACAATAATGACAATAATAAAAGGTCTCTGTAAAAATATTTTAACACCATGAGATTTAAAAGTAACAAAGGCATAAATTTCATGATAAGCAATTTTGTAATTAACTACAATGAGCATAAGCATAGCTTCCTAATCCTTTGTTTCAACATTAATAATGGATTTACAATTTTTATACTTATCTATATGAAAAAAATTTCTATTATAAGTACTTTACACTTTCAATTACATTTTAATCAATGACATCATTATATAACCATAAAGTCAAACCCAGAGGAAAGTCTTATACTGGTATCTATTTCAAATTCCATGACATTTGGTTTACTTTTCAAAAACAAAACCTTCTAAGGTTGTTGATAGTTGTCTTTAATTTATCCCTTATTTTATGCTTTTTGCAAAAATAAACTAGTACTACTTTTTAATTACTTTTAATCTTTAAATAAATTAGGCACACAGTACCTCTCTTCAACTGTATTTCTTCAATATGTTTTGTAGATTTTCAACCATTTCATAAAGTACCTGTATTTTATTAGTAGCTGTGAAAATGACATGCAAGAATCTGGACTGCATACAAATTCCCATGTGTCGGGTAGCAATTTTAAAGTGTACAAGTTTTGAGTGAGAGTAAATTGTAGAACCACACATTATGCTTTCAGATGCATTTTGAAAAACTTTGGTAACTGTATCATAAAAACTATTAAATGTAAAAAACAAGCAAGGAACATTTACAGAAATGGTTCATAATGAAGTAGATTGCTTACTTGTTAGAAGATAATGCTTACTTTTAATGTAAGAAAGACACGTAGAGGTATGAATTAATAAATACATGTGAAAAATAAATTTCAAATTTTCTTACCATTTATGTTTTTAATTGAATGTTTCTGAACATTTGAAGAAATTTCTGTCCTAATGCATTTCCTAAAATACAGTATCTAATCTTTAAAACACCTTTCCAAAAATCTACATTAAACTACTTTTACATATTTTGTAATTATTTTTTTCTCTAAAATATGCATGATATAGAGGTCTCAGGTATTCTTTGATTTGCTACTTCCACTGTAACAGACTAGTTTTCCAAGTTCCCAGCTCATCATAAAAGAACAAAACAAATATCTATACAAGGTTTACTTCTTTTTTTTTGCTCATTCAAGTAGCACTGATAAGCAGCTGAAACTGGCAAAACTAGTCTGTTGCACTAGGAGTAGTGAATCAAAGAGTTTAGGTCTTTAAAATTATCTTTTTTTTTCTTTACTAAAATTCACATTTGGCAAAGAAAATAAATCAAATAAATTAATGACCAGTTAGTCAGGTGAATAATATTGGATAATTAATTGTGATTGCATGTCATGTTAATCAGATATCTAAAGTACATTAAATTATTTATGGCTCGTAAAGGATCATACATCTAAACGAAAGTACCTTTAAGTTAATTTTTTTTCTTAATGTGATTAACACGCTGACTTCAAATTTATTTCTAACAGCTAATCTCCCAAACTTCTATAATTCAAATCACATGTAAGTAACTGTTTATTATAGGATTGTTTAGACCAGTGTTTCTCAACCTTTTTTTTGCTCATGGCTCCTGTTTGAGTTTGATATATCTCTGTGGATCCACCCTTCGTAGATGCTGTTACTTGGGAAAAAAGTTACTTTATTTCCACACTGTTGATTTATAATATATTTATTATATTATTTTTACAATATTGTATTGGTTTTAAATAATTTGTTTATAACATACTGTTTACTTATACGAGTAAAAAATATTCTGTTAATCATTGACATTTTATTCAGTGTGACCCTTGGGCCTGATGAACACTTGAAAGTTTTTGAATGTCCGGTTGCAGTGTGGTCAGTGATAAGCGAAGATCACCTCTCTTCACAACATCAAGGCGGTTACGTATTTTTGATAGCAAATAAGTCACCCGACTAAAACCAGATTCAACCAGATAAGATGTGGGAAAAGCGATAAAATACAATTTTGCCTTCTCCCAGAAATGTGGAAACTTATTACTTATTTCACTACTTATCCAGAAATAATGTTTGTCACTTTGAATCTAGCTTGGGATGTTACATCCCTCTGCAGTTCAACGAGATATTCTTGTAATGTGACGTCAACATCAACCGCATTCACCCCAAATGGATCCACCACCCAATCCAGAATTTTGATTGTTACTCAAGTACTAGTCGCATCTGGTAACTTGACTTCAGAGGGGGATACGGAGAGAAGGGAACCTTTCAATCAGTTTTAAATTTTAATCGGGCAGTGAAGTTTCACTGGCCCACTCAGAATTTACTGTGGCCCCATAATTTTCCATCATTCACATGTGGCCCCTTAGAAACATGGCATGGCCCACGTTGAGATCCACTGGTTTAGACCACTAATTAACATACAAATATATAAAGCTAGAATTAAAAGCAAAATAATACACTTTTTGTTTAAAAGAAAAATAGGAAGCAAATTGTTAGTTATATTTTTTCCAGAAGCATTTTGTTTTTCATCTGAAAGAAGATAGTATCCCCATTTCATACATTTTCCAACATTTCCTTGAAAAACCTGAATGCTTGATTTTTTTTCACTGCAATAATAAATTATATCCAGATTTGGTCAACCATAAAGAAAGTAATTTAGATAGCGAAAAAAAAACACACAAATATTTACACTATAGTGTGCAGTCTACACATATCATCATCATCATCATCACTGTTTTATCTTTTGTTTATTTGCAACTGGCACCAGTTATTATGAATAATGTTTTTAAACTAATAAAGTACAAAATATCAAACATTACGGTTTTGGGGCAAATATAATCGGGATGAAATAAGTTCCAACAATCAAAACTAGCACAATTATAACCTAAATTTTAGGTACTCTTTTGGAACACACAACTTATTAAATCATTATCATTTGATAAAAGAACATGGATATATACAAATTATTTAGCAAAAAATTATGTTTTAGTGAATCATTAAAATGGTGATGATCATAGTATCTGTGTAGACCGCACACTATAATAGCACCAAAATGTCTTTATCTAAGAAAAGATAATAATCACAAAATATTTGATCAAAGGTTACATGGATGAAATCAAATGCAAAAGTAGGTCCATAATAGAAACAAGATACTAACTGTTGATGGCACATTGAAAGAAGGTTCCAGTTCAAGAAGGTTTACATCACCTCCCATACCTCCATTTCCTAAGTTACTGAAATCATCCCAAAACTCTTCCAGCTGAGAAAATATGTTAAAGAAAATTATTACATAGATAAATGGAACTTAACTAGTTAGAAACTTACATGATATGCGGTGCAATGCAACAACCAGGATTTATTAGCTTTTAATGATAATATCTATTATAACTTAAAGAAGGAGATTAAATTGGACTTCAATACAAAAAAATAAAATAAAAAAGCTTTAATTTATGTGAGCAAACTGATGATTTTACTCTGCAAAACATCAATGAGAATTGTTTAGTTTGAACAGATTTAAGAGGATTAAATTATGAAAAGCAGAGCAAATAATAGCATTTTTTCTTTTTCCACTTTAAGAGATAACTGAAAATTGTATGAGCCAACAATGAAAAAACAGATAATACCCAAATTACGCTCTTAGCACACAACACACACACTGAGCATGCACAATCATGTTACACCCCCACACACGCACATCTACCATACACATGTATAGGCACCAGCTCCATGGATGCTTCAACACCCCCAAAAGTTATTGATGCAAGTTCTATTAAACACTGAAACTGCATACACCAAGCACCCCAAAACATCTGTAAAAGTTGGTGTTAATGCACACATGTATGTTACACACACACAAACAAATGCCTTATATGCAAACACAGCTAATACACACACACACACACACACACATACATACATACATACATACATACATACATACAGCTAGTACATATACTTACACACCTATCTAGCTTGCTGTTCTGTAATAAATGACAAGCTTTCACGGGGAGTCTAAGAAGTTAATACATACACACACACACACACACACACACAGCTAGTACATATACTTACACACCTATCTAGCTTGCTGTTCTGTAATAAATGACAAGCTTTCACAGGGAGTCTAAGAAGTTAATACATACATACAGCTAGTACATATACTTACACACCTATCTAGCTTGCTGTTCTGTAATAAATGACAAGCTTTCACAGGGAGTCTAAGAAGTTAAGAGTGATAATCTTATCATCAGGCACTAAAGAGTGAAAGTACAGGATTGTCTTCACAATTATATGAGCTTGTCATAATGAGTTCTTTGTAAACCAAAACAATGAATGTCATGCCACTCTTGTTATTACACAAAAGACTGGAAACATGCTATCCTATACTAAACAATTTTTGGCTACTATAATGATCATTTTTAAATTTAGGGTATCCTTTGTAGAATCGTTTTTTTTGTCCCCAACAGCCTTTCTCAAATTTTAATAGTTAGTTAGTTAAATGATCTAAATTAATTTCTACCAAATGCTTCCAGAATTTCACTAACTTCTATTTTTTTGCAATACACACAAACATTACAACAAACTAACAGTATGTTTCTTAATTTATACTATATCTTATAACTTCAACTTTTATTAGCACTAATCTTTCAATCCACCTTGTGAGCTTTAAAATTATAAAAACTATTCATCACTGATAAAAATCAGTAATTTCAGGGCTACTCAGGATTTCACACGCACATATTTACATACCACTACTCAACTACAAACTATCATTATCGAGATTTGTGTAAAAGCATAGTTTAAGTGAATAAGATAAGTAAAAACCAATAACCAATGTCTTTTATAAAAAAAAAGTCAGGTGACAACTACATAGTTACTCAAACCCTGTCTTCAAAATAATAGCATAAAATACTTTTGTTAAATACTTCTTACCTTCCAAACACTATCAGAAGCAGTAATATCATTACTTTATATTTTATTTTATTGGGGGGGGGGGAGATACAGTTAGAAAACAGGGTATTTTTTAGTGTACATGGTGAGTGAGTAATAATAACAGGTAACTTTGTTTAACATCTTGGTTTTCAATACAGATTAGTATTAGGCCTATTACATTTTTAAACATTCTTAATCTAGTCCTTTTGGGTTTTGAGAAGGTTACGTTTGTACAGTTAATGATTGCGAAGCACTGAATGTGCTCTGTATATATACTAAGGTTAAATAAGGCTGACCATATATACTGCGAAGGCATGAATAGGTGATACGAAACCACAAAAAGAATTGATATGGGAAACACTTTTTACAGTAAGTAAAAAAAAAAGTAATTTCATTTTGTCTGAACACATTTTAAAAGCTACCTACCTATACAAATTATATACATAACAAATTAATACAAAATTACTGATAAAACATTATTTTATATAAATATTAATTATTTTTCACAATTAATTAAATAAATGTAAGTATAGGTATGAAATAACAATAATAACTCCCCAAAATTATATATATTTATTCTGTTCTCGAACTTCTAGACTTTACTGAAATAATAACTGTTTGTTTGACATCTTTCCTACACAAATAATTCATTGACATAATAATATATCCGGATGATTACGTGTTCCCTCTATGACTACCGTTTTTTGATGCAATAAAATTTGTAAAATCAGTATAAAGTATATAATGGAAGACAGCCTATCTCTAAATAGTAACTTGTTAAGGGTTTTAGGCTGTAATAAAACAATTCCCCTTTACCTAATTTTAGAAAAACGAGGTGAAGTCGTGTCAAGAGCCCTTACAATCCGTTTAGGCGAGAACCTAGCTAATGTTTACTAAACTATTATGGCTGCCTTCATACTCAATGGCAGTTAACTGTAAACAGAAATATCGAGGTAGAAATAACAATTTGTATCCATGAAATACACATACTGATGCGCTAAATGTGTCATAATTAACCTTTATAAATTTCTGTAAACAGAAATATCGAGGTAGAAATAACAATTTGTATCCATGAAATACACATACTGATGCGCTAAATATGCCATAATTAACCTCTATATATTTTTGTAAACAGAAATATCGAGGTAGAAATAACAATTTGTATCCATGAAATACACATACTGATGCGCTAAATGTGCCATAATTAACCTCTATATATTTCTGTAAACAGAAATATCGAGGTAGAAATAACAATTTGTATCCATGAAATACACATACTGATGCGCTAAATGTGCCATAATTAACCTCTATATACATTTCTGTAAACATATTGATGTGCTAACTGTACACTAAAGATTATTTATTTTTGCCATCCGTGTCCTAGAATCATTACTGAATCACACAAATTCACTGACTTTTCCCGGTTTATGTCTGTAAAGCATAACATTCACTGACTTTTCCTGGTTCCCTGACCCTTGATCTGTAATCAATAAAGTCGTTGACCCCCCATACGTAATTTGGTGCAGAAATAGTATGTGTTTAAAACTCCGATGGGATCCAGGGTTAAGCTGTTCCAATTATATCCAATAATTTAGTTTATCATAAAAATTTCCGGAACTCAGACTTTATTTTGTATAACGTGTTCTTCCAACTTGAAAAAAATCAGATGATTTGTAGATAAGCAAATATTACAAATCAGCGAATCTTATTTAAATATTTATAAACTTATTTGTTTGCAGAGGTTTCGCGCAAAGCCACACAAGGATCATCTGCACCTACCCGTCCATAGTTTAGAAATGATAGACTAGAGGATATGACTATCTTTGAAAGATCGCAATATTCATACAGTCAAAAGAGAGCATATATTGTAATACGATGGGTCCAGTTCCATCAATTACAGATTACTTCTGTTACATGAAGGCTACACTACCGCAATGGCTCTTTGTTAATTGTTATGAAAGGAACTTGGTACACACACACACACGTCTAAAGACGATGGTGTTAGTCATTAACAGCGTATAAATATTGACAAGTACGTTTTACTTGCCTCATCAACTTGCGAAATCTCGACGGAACACAGATGAGGTTTCCTTGATTTACACGCTCCACGCTTAGATCATTAACTTCAACACTACAAGTTTTGTTATGGCTTCTTCTGCGTTGAGCAAAAGAAAGCCATACAAACGCACAGATTGGTTAAGTGAAACCCATGTTAAAGATAAGTATACAGAAGTGGGTTTCGAAAACAATCTCTGGCAAACCCATTTGGTTTCCTACCTGATGCGTCGTTAAGCAGACAGAGTAAACACCCCCTAGATACAAGGGTAATAGGGTACTTTTCCGTTATACCCCTGCAAATGGTAAGTTTTCACGATATGAATACAACGCTTATTAATATATATATTTTTTATAAGTTTATTTTGGACATTTACTATTTGAATAAAATGTGGAATAAAACTGAAAAGTTATTAATATTTGCGGGGGTATAACGGAAAAGTTCCGGTAATAGTCACACCTGAAGTGAGGTGTGAAAAGTATAGTTTATCGTTTTAACTGTCGTTTATATTTGTTATACTTATTTTCACATAAACATGATGTAACCATGGATACCCACTACACCTACGACGACATGTTTTAACTGCAGACGTTCTTGATTTAGCTTTAGCTGCCATTTGACATTATATTTTTTCCTAGACATTTCTCAATTTATATTATACACCGAGGTAAACATATGCGTGAGCTGATTGGTTGATTGAGGATTTAAAGTGTAAAAAAAGCACCAAGGCAACGAGCACGTGATAATAATGGTGCAAGATGTACATATAAACAAATATATCGGCAACTCTTTGAATAACGGAATTAAACATAATACTGTAGGACATCTCTTGCAGATGTATTATCTCATTTCACCCTACAATGCCGAAAGTCGGGATTTGCTTAACGCATTTCACCTCTCAATAAGCAAGATTTGATGGCGTAGTATGTAGAGCGAGATTCTATTGAAAGTAAACTAATAAAAAACGTATTATTTTTGCTACCCTAGGCAATTGTTTAACCTCGTCTGATCGTTATAGCTAGGCCTGCCGAAAGTGAAACAGTTAATAACATTTTAATTAAAAAAAAGGGCACGTTGGAACGTACAAAACACTGACAATCAACAAAAACGCTTTAAATATTATTCAACAATTTCACACAATAGCAAGTACTAAATTGTAAGTACAAAAACAAATAAAATGCAAATTAAACTGTTTGCTGTGCACTATAAAATCGCAAGCCATACATATAATAAGAATGTTTCATACAATTACACAGGCCTGTGAATTTAAA